TGCCTAAACAGCTCCCAGACAGTGCACTGAAGAGAAGAAAGGTGTTTCTGCAGGTTTTGGAGAGGAGACAACTTTTGACCTGAAATATTTTGCAAGGGGTCTTTTGTGTTTTGTTTTCTTTTCCTTCCTCACACCATTTCTTCTTCTTCTCTGATTATGGTACAAAACTCTTCTATACTCTGTAAAGTCTCATGTCATAAAAAGTAAACTCCTAGTTAACTCCTACATAAAAATCACTAGGACTAGGGCTAATCTCCTTAAAGCTAATAGTCCTGAGGTCTGCAGGGCCTTACCCCTTACATACACATTGGATTTCCCAAGAAAGCCCGTAGTCGTTTTGCCTGAGCAAAGAGACTGGCATTTGATCTCAAGACTTCTGAGACTTACACTTATACCCTGAATGAGTTTGCACAGTGACCCAAGGTAATGGAACAGTTTTGGTTAACAATTCAGCTCCTGTCCGCTTCTTACAAAAATGATAAGTAGTGTACATTCTTCTGAAGTTTACCTGAGTCATGCTGAACATGTTCGCGTATACCCTGAAATTCCATGATATAAATACAAGTATTAATATGCCGCATGGTGAATAAGAGGCCACCTCCTGAGATTGCAATTCAACTTGGGTTGTGTCTGGTTTAAAAATGTTTGTTTGTCTTCTCGAAAGGAACATAAACATGGAAAGACTTCATCTTTTCTTGACAAAACGGGGAGGTAAAATGGCTGTTTGGCAGTTTATATTCTTTCTAACAATTCTATACTATGGATGGTTACCACCCACCAATTCTCACCTCTCCCAGGAATGAGTCGTCCCTGGAAGAAAATGGGGAACTGCCTTCTGCTGATGTGCTCTTCTTCCTTTTTGTTCAAGGCAATCTACCAAACAAGGAATTCAATTGTAAAATTGTTAAAAAGTATGCGTTTTGAGGTCTCCTATACTAAATGGGAGGGTCAAAAAACTATTTTTACTGACTCTTCAGATGTTAACTAATTTGAAAAATCTGTAACTCTACACAACATAAAGAAGACCTTTTGTGGTCTAAACCAAATTTCTACTTAAAGAAATCTGCTCACTCACCATTTACATGTTGGTCTCTTTGTTTTTTTAATTCTCAAGTGAGATTTAAAGATTAATAATCTCAAGATTATGTCACCTGTGCTTTGGTTCTACCACAGTGGAATCTAAACCTGTTGTACAATTTCATTTTAGAGAAATGACTATCAGATATATTCCAAAAGAATATGCCATCGGTTCCTTTGATTTTGCTAGGCTAACTCACTAACACACTCCCAATGAACTGCTTTAACTGGTAATCAGTACTCAATTCTCAAGGGTGGAGCGAGGGAGGGCTGTGCACAGATGGGGAAGGGGAGATGCAAAAACAAAAAGCCTTCCTGGCTACAATCTGTCTTCTCTAAATCTGAGGACAGAGGGAATTAATGTCTTTGGTCTCTCAAATTCAAATCACTTGAGGTGAGTTAACCACTTCAGAGATGCTGGGATGGCTAACAGCCCTGGTGGGACCCAACCCTTCCACTTGCCACCCTATTGAACTAGGGCCCTGAAATACTGGAAGAGCTGAGCTATGGATATTAGCATGTCAGAAGTCAGAAGTCTCTCCTTCTGGAGAAAACAAGTATTCAGGACATGAGCCATTAAAGCTCAGAATCAAGGAAGGGGATTCAAAGGTAAAAAGCCCAGTAAAATAAATAAAAGGAAGTAAACCAAAAGAGAGTCATTCCTTAATAGGCAGTTTTGTTTAAGTGCACCCTCAGGTCTACAAAAACATTTCAGCACATTACAGTGCAAAGGGTAAGAGCTTTGTCAAACTTCGCATGCCTATGCTACACAGATAGTCCCTGTACTCCATTCCTACTGACTTGGTTTCAATGAGCTACAGATGGAAAAGCAGCATTCATTTCCCCCCTACCACCCAAATTCATAACAACTCATCCCTGATCCCAGGCTGACAGGCTCATGTATGCAACACTTTTTCCTGTAACACATGCAGAAGAATCCCAGTCCAGCAAATCTATGAGAGGTATACCAGGTAGCCAAAGCCAGTCTTATCAGTCAGTCTTGGTCCCATTTTCTCATCCTCTGACCCATCCATCCCATAGTACTGAGTGGATTATTGCTGTTGACGGAGTGCAGCGTTTCAAGTTCTGTGTGTCCTAGACCTCAAAGTCTAAATAAATTATCAAGATATCCCCAGAAATTTAGGGGAGGTTGGCTTTTTTTTTCCAACTGGAGACTTTTAAGCAGGTAGGTAGGAGAGGAATAGCCAGGATGAGTCAAGGTTCAAAAGAGAAGGAAACATCACAGGGGAGGGTTTAATGCCCTGTGGTCAGATGCTGTTCAATCCTTGGCCCCATGTCTTCCATGATGTTACATCAGTATTACAGATTCACAAACCACACAGGAAAATAAAATATCCATGTTCTTTCTTTCAACTGAGTCAGCCAGCCTGGGTGTTACTCTAGCTTCTTGATTTATTGCCTCACTGCTAGTTCTAGGATAAGGTGAGGGAAGGGATGGAAGTAACAGGGAAGATTTCCAGAAGAAGCAGGACAGGAATGTAAGGTGGGCAGCAGCAGGTAGCCACATGCTAAGTGCAGAATGAAGATTCCCCACCTCGGTGTCCTTAAAAAGGCTGTGAGTGCCTCTCCATTGGTGGACAGCTGCTGGGCCCCAGGGGCCTATGTTATGTGGCTCTGTTTCAGCTAGACCCAGGGTCCCCACCATTCTCTGGGTGCCTAGGGCAGCAGAAGTTAGATGCTCAGCCTGTGAAGTGACTGCCAGGTAGGAAGATCATAGGAGCATCACAGAAAATATCTGAAGGGAGTGGGTCAGGAGGGAAGACCCAGAAAAGGTTATTAGGAATTCAGTGTTCCCACATCCACACTGATGCCTGAAAAGATCAGACAATCAGAGATTTGCAGAGTCCTGTTGCTAACAGAGGAGAAATAAGGAACTTTGCAAGGAATGCTACACTGGACCTGAGGAAGCCTTGCATGTCCAGAGTGGCCCTCCACAGGAAACAAATTCCCAAAAACTTTATATTGCCTTCTGGTGGAGGAGAGGGAAAAAACAAGTTCCTGGTTCATGTCCACTTCGAAGATGGGTCTCAGGTCCCAGATCAGGCTGCCAAAGGGACCAAGTCCAGTGGATGGCCAGAGAGACAGCACCCTCCTGGATCTCTCCTCTCCCGCGTTTAGGATGGTGTGGTCTTCTCACAGTGGTGAAGTGAGACAGGGAGGGTGGAAAAAGCAAAAGCAAAATATCTGTGCCTCAACTCTTCCTCCCTTTCGTTACGTAACTTCTCAGCTGTATTAATGGAGGCACTTTCTACGGTTCACTGTGGGTACAGGATAAAGGCACTAAGCAACTATTAAATCAATTGGTTGAGTTTCTTCAGGGAGCCTCAAGGGGAGGGCTGAAGTCTCTACAGACTTCAAATCATGACTGCAAAAGAAATCAGCTCTGCTTTGGATGCATACAAGAGATAAACATGTTCATTTACATCCTAAGAATGCACCAAAAAACATGCAGTATTGCACCTTTTTTGTTTGTTTTGCTTGTGTTTATTTTTAGCTAGAAAGAATATTTGTTCTTAGGTGTTGCTATATATACCTTGATGACTTACTTAGGTTTCCACATAGCTTCCCTTTAAGGGATGGGCATATTGGTCCTCTCTCTGCCTACACCTGCACAGAAACCTGACATTTCCCTGAGCAAAGGCAGGAAAATCAACTGAGTGTCCCCCCACCCCCCCACCCCCCACTATTTCTTTGGGCCCTTCATCCCACAAACTTGTAATTTTTATGATTTTAAATTTTCTTTTTTACTGAAATCATGCATTAATTAATTCAAGGTACACTTTAATCAAATAGGCCATAATGCTGAATAAGAGAACATGCTTTGAGCTCCAAAAAGTTATTGTTCCCATCTGACTAACATATGCACTTAAATACAGTACTTTATTTACTAATAAAATAGTTAATAAATGAAGGAGTGCACTTTTGGTGAATGCAAATGAAAAAGGATCTATTTCTAGAAGAGTTGATTCCAACGTAAGCTTATCCTCTATTGTCTGAGTTAACGTTCTTGGCATGCGATTATAAAATAAATATGATCAGATTCAAACATGCTTACATTTAGCTCCACTTGTGCTCTCTTGCAATAAGGAAGCAAAGGTTTTACATCCAGTTCTGGAGGCCAGGGGTCAGGGTTTCAGGACTGGTGAGAAAAGACCTGTGTTTGGCTCACCTGCAGTTGAAAACTTAGCAGCACTGCAGATGAATCAATTAATATAATTCAGTTATCTTTTAATAGAGAAATCTCTATTTCTTAGAGAATACTTTGAATAGTTTGGATTAGAAGGGGAATGGGGCAGAGGGAAAATCCCTACAGACCAGGACCAATATCAGATTTATAAGGTGCTTTATGAACCAGTCTTAAATAATTTTGTGTGTGTGTGTGTGTGTGTGTTCACCTTGTAATATACAGTTCAGTTGATCAAAATAAAAACAACATTTGTTCATTGCCCATTTTGGCTGATATGTCACGTTACGTATAATACATCAGATGCACTATTTTAAAAGTGCTGTGCATTTTGCAAAAGTTTTATAATGGAGTCCCATGCAAATTTAAATTTTATATTTCTAAGTGATCATCTGGTTTTTAGTTCAAAGAAAAAAGTTAAAGAAGCCAAAGGATTAAAAATCTCTCAGTATAAGGAAGCATATGAATCTAATTTTACCTAGACTAGCTCATGGACTGAATTGTTTTAAACCAGTTTTAGAAAATACACTTTCTTTTCTCATTTTTTAATAAAATGAAAATAGTTTCTTTTTTTCCTGAATCTTGAAAGCTTCTGGTTCCCCATCTCCAAAATCCGCAATGCAACAATGCATTGACAGTTAAATAGAACATACAGAGACTATTTAGTAAAGTATCTACAAACAGCGACGTGGGTCACTAGGGTTTTTGTTCTTTTGTGTTTGTTTTGTTTTAAGTCTTTCAAGCTGCTAAGTGGGCCTTTTTTTGTTAGTTTGCTTGGCTTTTTAAACATCGGTCAGTAGCTTGCTCTTATTAACGCAGTTTTGGTTAGCTGTGGTGCAATTGCCAGTTCTGATATTGGCCTGTCTATAATGGGCTATGCTATTATTCATATCCTCTTCGATCTCCATGTACTCAGATTTGCTGATAGTAGAGGAACTGCGCCGACTGAGGTCACTGTCAGAGGCTAAGTTAGGGGAGCTAACGTGGAGCAACTGAGCCTGCTCTTCCCCCTCAGTTTCTCGGTGGTAGAAATAGTTGAAATTGGACACAATGACAGGTACGGGCAGGGCAATTGTCAGCACACCAGCGATGGCACACAAGGAGCCCACGATCTTGCCTCCAATTGTCACAGGGTACATGTCACCGTATCCTACAGTGGTCATGGACACCACCGCCCACCAGAAAGCATCGGGGATACTGGAGAAGTGCGACTCAGCTTCTTCCGCCTCGGCAAAGTACACTGCGCTAGAAAACAGTATGACCCCAATGAAGAGGAAAAAGATAAGCAGCCCTAGCTCTCTCATACTAGCCTTAAGGGTCTGGCCCAGGATCTGGAGGCCCTTAGAGTGGCGGGAGAGTTTGAAGATTCTAAAAACCCTTACCAACCGGATGACCCTGAGGATGGCCAGCGAAGTGGCCTGCTCACCCTTCTGGTTCCCCTCCTGCTCGGCTATCTCGGTGCCTAGGGTGATGAAATAGGGGATGATGGCCACAATGTCGATGAAGTTCATGATGTTTTTGAAGAAGTCTGTCTTGCTGGGGCAGGCGAAGAAGCGCACCACCAGCTCAAAGGAGAACCAGATGATGCACAGGGTCTCCACGATGAAGAAGGGGTCCGTGAAGATGTTGGAATTGTAGATAACCGTGGTGTTGTCGATGCGGTGCACGGTGCCTGTGAAGTCCTTGTCATCCTTCAGCTCAGGTAGAGTCTCCAGGCAAAAGATGACGATGGAGATGAGGATGACCATGACGGAGACTATGGCGATGACCCGGGCTGGCCCGGAGCTCTCAGGGTACTCGAAGAGCAGCCACACCTGGCGCTGGTACTCCTTCTCGGGCAGGGGGCGCTCCTCCTCCTTGATGAAGCCCTCGTCCTCCCGGAACTTCTCCATGGCCTCCTCGCCCAGCTCGTAAAATTTGATCTCCTCGGAGAACATGTCCAGGGGCACGTTGACCGGCCTGCGCAGGCGGCCCCCGGACTGGTAGTAGTAGAGGATGGCGTCGAAGCTGGGCCGGTTGCGGTCGAAGAAGTACTCGTTCCTCAGGGGGTCGAAGTAGCGCATGCGTTTCTTAGGGTTGCCCAGCAGCGTGTTGGGGAACTGCGCCAGGGTCTTGAGCTGCGTTTCGAAGCGCAGCCCGGAGATGTTGATCACCACGCGCTCGCAGCACTCGTGGTCGTCGTGCTCGGCCGGCCGGGCGTAGCTGCCATCCTGGGGGTGGCCCGGGGCGGCCGAAGCCTCATCCACGTTCTCTCCGGACATCACCGTCATGGTGGAAGCAGGGCGCGCAGGGGTGAGTGATCAGGAGAGGGCCGGGGGTGGGAAGCAGCAGCAGAGGAGGGGTGGGGGTGGGGGGAGCCAAGCGCCCCCCCCACCGGAGTGCGCAGCTCCCCCACGCTCAGGGGGAGGGGCTTCAGAGCCAGCAGGTGGAGCGATCTGTGACTTCGCTTCTCCTTACCTTCCCCTCCACGCTGCCTTTTACTCAGTTTGGAATCCCCCCTCGCCTGAGGCCCCGGGTGCAGCTTTTTTGCCAAGGGGTGGGGTGTGTGTGTGTGTGGGGGGGGAAGGTTGGTTGGTATTTCTTCCTGCTCGCAGGTGCCTTAACGCAGTGCGGTTCTAGCGGACCGGGCCATCGCTTCGGGGGTCACCCTGGCCTCCCCTCCCCTCCGTGAGCCCTCCTAGGACCGGGTGCAGAGCCAGCGCAGCAGATCCCCTCGCCTGTCACCCCTCTGCTCCTCCTCGGCTCTCCCCCCTCCTACCCCTCTTCGCCTGCCGCCTTCTAAGCTCCCACCAGGGCGATCGATGGACGCTGCAGAGAAATAGAAAGTGATACGGGGGTAGAAAATCAGAAGCATTCAGATGGGACGGACCTACAGACACCGAAGAGCACAGACCTCTAGCTTTTTTAGAAAGCACTGGACTTTTGCGAGGGGTAGCACATACACGCAGACAGACACACAGAGACACCCGGAAATCCAAGTTTGGGCTCTTCCATCCCACTTTCCCCAGTGCCCAACAGCCGATCTGTTTACAACTTCGTTAAACTAAAGATCGGGAAAGCGCCAAGAGACGCCGGGGGAGTTCCAGGTCCCAGGCAGTATCCCCAGACCCCCGGCCTCCCCCACCCCGCACCCCTACCCCCACCACTGCAGCCCCGGACTGGGGAGCCCCCTACCTGGCCGGCCGGCTTGGCGCAGGGGCGGCGCTGAGTCGGCGGAGCGCCCGAGTCCGAATGCGGCAGGTCGCCTTTGCAGCACCGGGGCGGGAGCGGCAGCCCCAGCCGCGGCAGCATCCGAGAGGCGCCGGGGCAAAGTCGCAGCCCTGGCCTCCTCGTCCTACGCCCGATCAGTGGGACAATCGAGCGAGCGAGGCGCTACGGAGGAAATGTCCGCTCCCTACCCCCATTCTCACCGGTTGCCAGCAACCCAGAGACGCCGTCCTCTCGCTGGTGCAGGGAGTTCCGGAGGATGCGGGGCGGAAAAGCAAAATGCCACCCTCTCCGGAGGCTCGGAAGCAAATGACGAGAATCAGCACTCTCGCCCCCTCCTAACACTGTGGGAGCCCTTGATTCGATCCTGAAGGAGGCGGGCGCGCAAGAGCCTGGATCTACATGGCTCTCGGATCCCCTCCGCTTCCCGCACCCCAGCGTGGACCTCGCCGAGGCTGAGTGGCGCGCCGGGAGCCTTTAGGAGCTCCGAGTGGGGCAGGGTGCGTGCGGCAGCGGGTCCGCTCGGTCCATTTCTGGGCGCTGCAAGATCAGCAGAAACCTGAGAAAGCGCCTGGAATGCGGAGCAGCGATTGGCCCACTCGGGCGTGGGTTGGGGAGGGCGGGGGAGGGCAGGAGCGAGGAGGTAGATGGAAAATATGAGGGGGTGGCTCGGCAGAGGGGGGTTGTCATTCAGTTCCCACCCTTGCCAACACAGCTTTTTCCTTCTCCTGCCAGAAAAGTCGACCACCTATCTACTTGCCTTATGGTGCACAGACCCGCACACGCACGCTCCCTGGTCGCGACCTTCCCCGGGAATTGCACACTGGAAATGGTCAGGTCCGACGCAATGCAGGCGGCGGTGTTCCTGGCAAAACTCCTCGGATGGGTTTGCGTTTGTGCAGTCCCACGATAATAGGCTTCTGCCGCCATGCTCCGCATGCCATCCTGCCCCTCCCGCAGGGGTCTCTCTGCAGGGGTGACCTAGCTTGTCTCCGCCGTTCTGGGATAGATGTGTACTCTGGGGAGAGCTCTGCAGTTTAGGATCACCCGGGTTTGTTCTATGTACTGTTAAGGCAAGACGGTGGTGCTAGGACTCTGTCCCTCCTTGACCTAGGATGGGAGTTGGAAGTTTTCTTACGGTCAGATTATTTTGAAATACGGAGAATGCGATTTGTGGGCAACCAAAGGCTTCGTGGGTTTGTGGGGTTGTCTGCCAACTTGGTGCTAATTGGGACGAATCTGAGAAGCAAGTCGCCTGCCCACCTCCCACCTACGTCCCTCCTCCCGCGGGCCCCTTTTCTCGGCCTAGGGCCTCCACAGAGCCACTTGCGAGGCTTGCAACTTCTTCAGGAAAAGGTCGGTACAGAGGCGCAGGGCAGCATGAGCCGGGGGCGTGCGCCGTGCACTCGGAGTGCGGCTGCAGCTGCTCCCCCAGAGGCGCTGAGCGTTGGCGCCCGCAGCGCGCCAGAAGGCAGCCAGCGGCTCTGGTACTTCTGCTACGGAGTCTCCAAGGAGGATGCAAGAATCCGGAGTCGCCTCTGATTGGTTCCCCTGCTGCATCGGGACCACCCTTCCCACCACCGCGGATCGCGTTGCTTCCCGCCTACACCAGCCACCACTTTAATCAAAGCCAAGGATTGTATCCTCCCCACTCTATTGTGGCTAGTGGAAAGCAGGGGCCTGTGCGGGGTTGCGCAGGCACTGCAAGGATCCTGGGTACGGAACTAGTTAAATCCCTCCTCCAGATTCAGACTCTAGCATTCCTTTCAGAAAAAGAAAAGTACTTGTTCGCTCCACTCCTCCGGATCCATATCCTCAGCTTTTCTTTTACGAACAGTGAGTTCTCCTAAATTCTTCCGTCCCATATTAAACGCTGCCCTTTCCCCACCTTCCACACACAATATTCCTGCATCCTGCTCACTCCAGGGTGCCCTGCCTTTCTGCGCTACTGTTCTATTACAGGGAGGGAGGGAGGGAGGGAGGGAGGGAGAGAGGAAGGAAGGAAGGAAGGAAGGAAGGAAGGAAGGAAGGAAGGAAGGAAGGAGCTATGCACTGAAATGTTGTCAAGTTCCCTGTTTCTGCTGTTCCTGCTGCGGCTGTTACAGCCCCATGAGACATGGGGCTACTAGACGGGATGAACATTTTCTGACCATGTCCCCAGCCGTATTTGGCTTCCCTACCCGGCTTCTGTACCTCCCTCTGCTGGTAGCCCCCTTCCTCTTTTTAAATGTCTCTAAGACTGTTATCTCCCTAGTATCATGTGGATTCCGCTTGTCCCAATTCAACATTTAGAAATTGTCTAACTAGAAGAGGCTTGCAGACTGCATGGGATCCCAGGTTCCTAAATTCAGGGTTTTATTAAGAGGCATAATAAAATCCAGAGGTTTACACCATTCCTAGCAGATGTGTTTACAGCAGGACTGGACCTCCAAGGAGTTAGAAGAACATTATTGAGCTAGAAACTCATCATTCATTTCTTTTTTTAGGGGAGGGGCAGAGGAAGAGGGAGAGAATCTTAAACAGACTCCAGAGCCCAAGGGGGGCTCAATTTCACAATCCTGAGATCATGACCTGAGCCAAAATCAAGAGTCAGCCGCTTAACTGACTGAGCTATCCAGGCACCCTGGAACTCATCATTCTTGATGCAAACCCACCATTGGTAGGGATCTAAAGAAATGTATTCACTTAAATATTTGCCTCAGTTCTGGCTTTGTGTCACTCCTGTTGCAGCACTATAGATATAGTAGTAACTATGACATGTGAGGTCCCAGAACTCATGGAGCTAATGTTATGGTGGGAGAGACAGACAATAAAAAAATAAACCACACATTATAAAGTTAGGCAAGAAAAATGAAGAAAGGGGGCTATGGAGTGACAGATCTAGATCTGTATGGATAGGAAGGGCCTTTGCAGAAGTAACATTTGAACAAAGAAATTCAAGAAGAGGGAGAACAAGGAGTAGGAAAAACAGAAACAGGATGTAAGAGCAAAGGCAAAGATCCCAAGGCAAGGACAAGCTTAGCATATTTGGGAAACAAATGAGTACCAGTATGGCTAGAAAAAAGTAGCCAAAGAAGGGTGTCATAGATGGTAGGTCAGAAAAGTAGTCAGAGACCAAATCATGTAGAGCCTTTTAGGACACTGTAAGAATATTTCATTTAGTAATATAATATGATTTGTCATTTTTAAAGGTTATTCTGGCTACTGGAAACAAGGTGTGAGATTGGAGGTTATTAGGTAGCACAGGCAACAATGACTGAAACAAGCAAGGTACTGGTAGGCATGTGAGGAGTGGTTGGAATAGAATTAAAGTTTGAAAATAAGGATAGCAGGATTTGGGATGTGGGGAAAAGAAAAATTTCAAGAACATCTCCTAGGTTTTTAGCCTTAGTAATCAGGTGGCTGGTGATGTCATTGACAGCTTCTGTCTCATTAGAATGTGGACTACAACAGTCTTGGACCTTGTGTGCCTTGGTTATTACTGTATTGGACAGCTGAAGCCTCTCCTCAGATTCTCCCCACATTGCAATTCTTCTTGCCCTGTAGCCACTTGCCCTGCCTCAACTGCTGCTGGAACAGCCAGCTGTGCATGGGCAGCAAAATTCTGCCTCCTGAAGTTGACTACACTGCAAGGATTTTGATTTCTCAGGATTGGAAAAAGGTTCAGGTGAATAACACAGCCATTTGGAAGCATTAACTCAATGGACCAGTGGGAACTTGCCCAGTAGGAGATATGAGATATGATGAAGCCTGTAGATAAATGCCTTCTCTTTTAATATTTTCAGAGACAAACAATGACATAGTCTAGTGACAGGGCTGCATCTCTTTGTGGCTCATGAAGCAGTTGCGAGCTTGGTAACTTACCACCTTGTATTTATAACCTATCTTCCCCATCTCACTTCCCATTTTCCTTAGTCTCATTGCATGGGGATCATACCTTACATTGAAACATAAGTCTTGTCTTGGGTTCTGTTTTCTAGGGAACCTGAACTGAGGCAGAAAGGCATCCAAACTTCAGTTTGAGACATGTTAAGTTTGAGCTATCTGTTAAATATCCAAATGAAGATGTTGAGTAGGAAGTTAGGCATGTGAGTATAGAATTCAGACAGAAGGTCTGGGTAGACCAGGGATCAACATGTTGATATTTGGGCTGGATACTTTTTGGTTGTAGAGGACATTATTATTTTATTGTCCTTTGAATTTTAAGATGTTTGGCAGCATCCCTGGCCTCTACACACTAACTACTAGTATCACTTGGTCCCAGTTATGACAACCAAAAATGTCTCTAGACATTGCCAAATGTCCCCCGAGGGGCAAAATCACCCCTACTAGGAACTATTGGGGTGAATGATAGTTAAAGCTAGAGCACCAGACTAGAGCACTTGGACATGAAGGTAGAAAGAAAAGAGGAAATGTTCAGGGATTGCACTTCAGGATATCCTAATCTTAAGACCTAAAAACATAAGGAAAGCTAATAAGGAATGACTGGTAAAGTAAGCAAACCAGGATAGTGTAGGTAGGATCCGTCAAAGCAAATGACTTGATGGGATGAACACTGGGTGTTATACTATAAGTTGGCAAACCAAACTTCAATAAAAAAATAAAAATAAATAAGTTTTCCATATTTAAAAGAAGCAAATGAGTAGTATTTTCAGGGGCTACTGATCAATTTTGTTAAATACTGCTGATCGGGTGAATAGAATGAGGAACTTACCATTGACTATTGGATTTAGAAATTTTGAATTGGTAAGAGTTTGAGAGAGAAGAACTAATGATAGTGGGTAAAATCAACTCTTGAAATTTGGGGATCGATGGGGAAAAAGAAAAATGGAATAGAAGCTGAAGGAAGATAAAGTGTGGCAAGACTTTTTTAAAGATTGAGAGCTATTGCAATATATTTGTATGCTGATGGGAATGATTCAGTAGAAAAGGAAAATTTATTGATGCAGTAGAAAGAGAAAAATTGAAGCGATGTTCTTGAGAAGGCAAAAGGAGAATGGGATCGAAGATCCAAAAGAAGGGATTGGCTTTGGAGAAGGACAGTTAGTCTATAGA